TCCTCTACACGAAGAACACTCATCTATCTTTAAGATGATTGTTCTTTAATTCTCAAAAACCAAGTTTTCTCCAAGAAAAAATAACGGTTGATTGTCGAGATGGTAACTGAGTGTTTTCTTTTGTTTTACAACACTCATTCACTTCGACTTATTATTATAATCCATAAAAAAAAAAAATTAACAGTCGCTTTAGCTTCACTTAATCTTAAAAAAAAAAACAATTATTTTATCGTTATTATAAGCTATATAATAGTTTACACAACGTCATGTTAATTAAGATTAATCATTTGGATTTGATCGAGTAATTAAATATTTATTTAAATAATTAAAATAGAAAAATTCAATTATGAAGAACACATTTAGAGTCGTGGGGTTTCCCATTAAAGACTTGTTCATTCAAATTGCATTAGTTACAACCATTGCCAGCTTGTAAATGAAGACTTTAGATAATAAAAAAATAACTATAAATAATCTAATCTTTTAATTACAATTTAATTCTCCGACATTCAAATTTTAAATTCAGTTAATTATTTAAATTTTTTTTTATAAATTTATAAATATTTAACTTAAAAATAAATAAAAATTAAAAAATAATAAAGTATACAAAATACTTTATTTTTCGTAGAATAAAAGTGATATAATTTGTATAATTCAATCTTAATTAATTAAATATACTTCCAAATTTCTTGTATTAATCTTGCATCATCCTCAAAGCTGACAATTATTATTATTTAAAAAAAAAAAAACAATGACTTTATTCAACTTTTTTAAAGCAAAAAAATAATAATTTCTATTATTAATTTGCATTTTTATTCAGAAGTCAAGGACAAAACTTGGTCAAATCAATTAATAAATATTTGATTTCCTTCAAGTGGCACTATTTTATTATATATATTTAAAACAATCCCGCGTTTTTTAAAAAAATACTTTTAAAATCAAATATGTTTTATTATTTACGTAAATAATAAAATATCTCCCTCATTAATTTCAATTATTTATTTTATTTTTTAAATTTTTATTAATTTTATTTATTATTTATGTGAATAAATCTAAACCAATAAATTTACCGGTATTGTTTTTTCAAGATTAAGAGGTCACCGTCAACTATTATTCGTTGAAATTTAAATCCTAACTGAGAATGTTTGCATAACCCACCGCAACTAAATGATGCGAGAAAGTTATCTATTTATAATAAAATAAATTAGAAGAATATGAAAATAATAATATATGGAAACATATTTTTAGTAAATATTTGCCTATAATAACATATCAAATATGATATATACTCACATGAAACATGTGTCGATCGGATAAAAGCTCAACCAAAGATTTCATAAAAGTTATATTTTCTGAGCAGATAGTGGAATGACTCTGATATCATGATAAATCGTCAATAAATTCAGTTTCATCGTATATGTTTTAATATATTTTGGTATTTATTGAATCTAATTAAGAGAAAAAAAAAAGTTTGACTTAGAAAATATTACATAAAATTTGAGAAAATATAAAGTTTTTGACATGGATGATTCATAGGAAGCCATAATTATTAGCCACAAAATCCCAAGTGCTACCAAAATCATCTTCCAAAAGCTCCTCCACTATGCCATTTTCACAAATATTTGGCCATTCAAACTCTGGAAACTCATTCGCCAAATCTTGAAGCAAATTGGCTGCTGATTCGGAGTTCGAACACAACGAAGAAGTAGAAGTAGACGTAGAAGATGAATACGAAGTTGTTGCGGCTGAGGAAGACGAAGCACATGGGACTAGAATTTCGTGTGGCTCAATTAGAGGAACTTCTTCTGTGCAGAACCCATCGATAATGAAGTCCATCATGTTTGTTCCATTACTTGCTACCTCGAACTTGGGCTCTTTTGGTGGTGATGATTGTGGTGGAGGCTGCTTTCGTTGAGATTTGCGGCGGTTTTGGTCCTTTTGAGGCAAATGAGTATCGTCGGTTGGGGAAATGGGCTTGTGAGTTTGAGGGTCGATTGCCATTTTTCTTAGCTTCTTTTTTATGTGGGTGTTCCAATGATTTTTTATCTCGTTGTCTGTTCTTCCCGGAAGATGGGAAGCAATTTTTGACCATCTAGTAAAAAAAAACAATAAAATAAGTTCGTTTCAAAATTAAATTAATTAAAAAAAAGAAAGAATAAAAAGAAGCTAAAAAGACCTGTTCCCGAGTTGAGAATGAAGATCAATGACCATTTTCTCCTCATATTCCGACAAAAGACCTCTTTTTAAATCCGGCCTCAGGTAATTTGTCCATCTCAACCTGCAACTCTTCCCACATCTCAACAATCCTACAAATTCCCGAAACATAATTCAACTAATCAGACATCAAACACAACCATTTTCTCAACGTCACGAAACATAATTCAACCAGTCTGACATCAAACATCAAAACACGACCATTTTCTCGACATCAACGAGGAGAGAGAAAGAGAGGAGTACCTGCAAGTTTAGGGACAGCCCTCCAACAGCATTGGCCATTGTTAAGGATGAAGGAGATGAGCTTCTGGTCTTCTTCAGCAGTCCATGGCCCTTTCTTCAACCCAACTTTATCACAGCAAGGTTGCCTTCCCATACTCAAACAAATTTCTCTCCAATTTCTCACAGACGAGTAAAGTTATCAACTCCCAATGAATCTCTCACTATATATATACACACACATATATATATATAGTGAGAGATTCATGGTCCATGGATATGGAGGAAAAAGACTTGGCCTTTACTTGAGCTAAATGTAGCCAGGTGGCAATTTCCTTTTTTATTTATTTATTTTATTTTATTTATTTATTTTATTTGAATATGAACACTGAAGTATATGAAGATTTACGCGTACCAACTTGTGTGATGTCATTTTCAAAATTTTCGCCCCCTCCATTTATTTTATTCCTCTCTTTTGCTTTAACTTCAAGCGATTTCTACTCTATTTCTCCGTCATCCTTTCACATTTTATACTAAAACACGACTCTCCATTTCTAGAAATTATTTTATGAAACCGTCGGAGTGTGGCTGATAAATTTTTATCGTTGTATATAGAAACATCTGTACCGATCATCCTTTCTCATTTCATACTAGTCTGTCGATCTCAAAAAATTGTTTAATGAAATCGTCGCAATGTGACTGATAAATTTTTATCGTTGGATGTAGAAACATCTGTATCGATCATCCTTTCTCATTTCATACTAAAACACGACCGTCGATCTCAAGGCATTATTCAATGAAACTGTCTAGAAAGATTTTGTTCCCATTTTTGTAATTATATCTGTTTTTTAAATTGAAAAATAAATAAATATTTTTTTAGTATTTAAATTTAGATTAAAAATATATACGTTGAAAGTAGATATAAAATAAAGAAATAAATACTACTTTTTTATTTGAAGTTAGACGTATATTATACTAAAATAATATATATATATATATATATATATATATATATATATATATATATATATATATAATTTTTAAAAAATGAAAAAAAAATTAAAATGAATCTTAAATTTTATAATTTTATAATTAATTAAAATAATATACGTCAGAGTGTGAGCGTAATTTACTCGAAAATATATATATTTTTTCTTACCAACTCCAAAGCATATTACTTTTCTCAATTTATTTCAATACCATAAATTTTCATTTAATGAACTAATAAACTATTTTTTTTATTAAAATAATCACCAAAATTGAAATTACATATATATAACGTTTTGAAAATAAATTATAATAATTAATTGACTTTAAAAATGGCATTTAAATGACCAATTTTAAAAATGATAATTAATTTTTTAAAAGCTCCCATAAATAAAAAGCAAACCCTACCATTATCACGAATTTATAAATAAAAAATTTAAATATGATAGGAAAATGTGTTTTTAAAAAATGGAAGAAAAATGAACCGAGAGTTTATTTTCAACGCATATAAGAATATGGGTCAAAGCCCAACTTACACGTTGGGCCCAACCCAATAAGGACGTGTCTCGGGTCCAGCCCATGACCCAACAATATACTAAATAGTTTTTTATTATTTAAGTTAAAATTAATTTGGTCTTCAGATTAATTAATCTTCCAATAGAATGCTGACAAGAAAGAGGTTTCCACACGCGTTATGCTCTGATCCACTCTTTTAGGGTGCCCTATCCACTCTTTTAGGGTGCCCTAACATTTACATTGGCACATCATTCGGTGTTTGACATTGATACCATTTCAAGCGTAATACTAACTAACATTATTATTCGTTTTGGCTCATTATTTATTATTGTCAGCTTCACGGTTTTAAAACGTGTCTGTTGAGAAGATTTTTCCATATCCTTATAAAAGAAATGCTTTAGTGTTCCCTCTCCAATCGATGTGGGATCTCACAATCCACTCTCGCCCAAGCCCACCCTACTTGGGCTTTATCTTTTTTTTTTTTCAATGTTTTTCACGCTCAATTCTATAATTTAAATAATAATAATAATAATAATAATTACAATAATTCGGATAACAAGAAAGAGTAACAATATTCATGTGTGTGTATATATATATATATAAATTCCAAAAATTTTCAATTGTTTCAAAAATATTTTTATTTTTTCATACAATATTATTCTTAATATTTTATAAACATTTTTAAATTATCTTTAAAATAAAAATTCTTTAAATTAAAAATATATCTATAATTAGAAAAAGACAAACTGTTTTCCAAATATGTATATTTTTCCAATTGGGTTAAATTTTTAGGGTTTTGAATTTAAACTTCTCTGTAATTCTACTTCAAAAAAAAAAAATAATAATATCGAAAATAAGGCTAAATTATAATATATATATATATATATATATATAACTATCTTTAAAATAAAAATCCTAAAAAATAAATGAATTTTTGTATTTATAGAAATATATCTGTAATTTTACTTTGGAAATAATGGTAATAAATATTACAATAATAAATAATTAAATAAATAAAATTTGTATGAAAGTTGCAATATTACCCTTAATTTTTTATAAACTCTGTGTCTATAAATACTCCCTTTAAACTCCCGTTTTAACTCACACCAAGGCAATGGCAATGGCACGATCATACACCGTCTTCCTCCTCTTACTCGTCTCCGTCCTGTTTTTCCTCACGTTCTCTCTGCAATTGGGTGTGGTATGAAGTCCTTTAAGCTATTACTTTTTCTTCTCATTTTTGATATTCATGTAATGGATTTTTGATTTCTGCAACAGGCTGAACCAAGCCTCCGTCCTTCAGGTACTCATCATCTTGAATCTTGAATGAAATAAGAGCTTTTATTTGTTTGAGTATCAATTTGAATGTGAGTGTGATGGATGAATAGATTGCAAGCCGAGGTGCGAATATCGATGCTCGGCAACGTCGCACAAGAAGCCGTGTATGTTCTACTGCCAAAAATGTTGTGCAACATGTCTGTGTGTGCCTCCTGGGACCTCTGGGAACAAGGAAGTTTGTCCTTGCTACAATGACTGGAAGACTAAGGAAGGACGTCCTAAATGCCCTTGAAATTCATTTGCTAACACATTTTAAACATCTTTAGAACTCTTTGGTTGTTGTTTGCTATCATAATCTGAACACATCTAGATTTAGATCCAAGGAAAGTGTTTTGAATGAGAGAATAATTGTAATCTTGGTCACTTGAATAAGAGGAACATTGCAATCTTGGTTGCTTCATCTCCAGCAAAGTATTGAACTTTATGCATGAACTCGGCAATTTCCTGCCAAAGACAATATTAATCATAAAATTTAAGCACAGGGGACGGACAATATCTGCGCTCAAAAGTAAAAAGCACAGAGGACGGACAATATCTGCGCTCAAAAGTGTACTCACTAAATTCTATCAGTCCAACTCACTCAAAGGAAAAGCACAAAAGACAATATCTATCAGTCCAACTCACTAAATTCTTGTCAATGCATGAGACCCTATTTCAACCAAACTCCAAACATAACCATTTTTCCAAAAAACTTATCCAAATCTTTCGATATATCATTCCATAAATTTAATTCATGACATAAATTTAATTCATGACATCAACTTCACAAGAATAGTTTACTACTACGAGCGGGCTTTTCAAAGAGATACTTCAATAGGTCCATCCTTGCACTCAGTGTATAGTTCAAGATGCAGTGGTAGTGTAGACATTGCAAGGTTGAGCACAACCTTATTTTTCTAGAATCGTATACCTTCTCTCATTTGTTGAGGACATACGGAAAATATACTAGTTCACCCCAACTCAGGACACTGCATGTTCTACTATATGTGGAAATTACAAATGGCTCTCACCTTACACTACAAAACCACTTCAAGAAACCACAACAGTAGTGAACTAGCCTTACACAGAGAATAAAACTCTCTACCCCAGCAAAGAGTAGCTGCCAACAAATGTATTTTTCAAAATCATTATAGCATCACAACAGTGTAAAGTAGTGTTGAGCGGGTGTTGGCAGCTGGGGTGTCCAATTGGTAGCGTGGAAATGCCACATACGGCGTCTCAACGCCTGTCTTTTGCAATAGCCTCATGCTCTCCGTAGCATCTCAACGTTGTCCTCTCTGGCCCTCTAGCCTGTAACATAGTTTCGACTTCACAAACACAGTAACAGAATTTGGTATGGTGCAAATCAGTTTGCAACCATTTGGTAGCTACTCTGTTTTCCTGGACTCTAATCTCTGGTACAAATATTGGGCAACAAAGAGATACTATTTGGGAACTAATTTCAGAACAGATTCCTGTTCAGTGGATTCATTGTGAACTTAATTTTTCCACACAAGTCAGTCATTTGGGAATAAAAGCAAGTCGTTTTGAAATTTTACACAGTTTATTCATTCCTTGATCCAAAATCAAAAGTTCACGAGTAGAAATTTCAATGGGTACAACCATAATATTAACTGTGCAAGTCATCAAATCTGTGTTACACAGGTGTCCTATTATGTTCTTCTATGGATGTTTACTACATAGAATCACAATTAAAAAGTTCAAGAACGTATACTACGTAGACCCCATACTCGTGAACATAGAATCATCAGCAAAAAGAGAATCTCCTCGTCAAAATAAAGTGAATGTCAAGGAAAAAACCGTCTTCGGTTCTTTTCTTTGGATCATGTAATTATTGTAACTTATGTAGTTCCAATTAGGATCACTAATTCCCAACAGACAAAAACATTAGTTCAATTGATCAGTAAACAGACTAAAATCGTTAAATGTAATTGCTCTCAGAAAAAGGCCAAAGTTCTCCACATGCGAAAGCTCGAAGCTGGTGAATCCTAAAACGTTTAAGCCCAGAAAAAAAATTACTTCAAAATAAGAGTCGTCAGGCGAAAAACAATCACAAGAAGAATATCTCCTAAAAAGCTTAAATGAATTAGGATCAAGACACAACCTCAGCTCGCTTCGGTGTGGTTAAAGCAAAAACAATCATCATCGAGCAGATCAATTTCACAAAACCACATTTAAAATAAAAAAAAGATCAGAAACAAGAAATCGGGATCGGATACATCAATCGATGCGTTTGACGAGGGTTTGGGAAGCAAGAAACAAATGAACAATCGAGAAATGGCAAAACCGCTAGATAGATCGGCACCATGTAGTGCCGTTTTGAAATCGATTTCGCATCGCATCTTTTCGTACTCCCGAGATGCCATGGATAAAAACAAGCAGAGTGAATCAAAGATGACGCATTGAGAAGATTTCGACTAGGAAACTAAACAGAAAGAAATTGCAAAAAATATAAAAGCACGCGTGATTTTTAAGCACTGCGAAGACGAGATATTTATAGTGGAACAAAGTTAGGGTTTCTCACTGACCGAGTCAACCGAAGAAATTTTGGAAAATCTTGTTAAATAAACTTTAATTTTAATATTAATTATTCATTGTTCATTAAAAAAAAAAAACATGGGTAAGTATGTAACTTAAAAATAATTTTTTTTAAATTAAATGCCTCTTAATTTTTTAATTTTAAAAAATAACTAATTTATGTTTTTTTTTTGCTATACATTCATGATTTTTTAAAAACAATATTAAATAAAATTTAAAAGTTTACTTCTTACACTTCAATGACTAATATAATTTAAAATTTAATGATCGATCAGAAGTAAAAGTTTACGAACTAAACTTATAATTTAACGTATATTTTTCTTTGAGACTAATTAATCCCTTTTAATAATAATTTGGTAAATATTGGTATAATATTTATAATTTAAGAATAATAATAATGCCTTGATTTTCAAAGGAGAAAAAGTTTCACATTCGAAATATCATATGTTTCTTTCAATCTTATTTTCGAACCCCCCTTTCGAAAATCTCTTTAACTCGTTTTCTAAATTTTTTTTTTTTCAAAATGGAGCTAAAGGCTACCTTGTTGTAGGCGATGCGATCCTAAATTGGCTTGACTTATAAGTGTTGGGAGGAGTGAGCGAAGCACAATCGTAAAAGTCTCGGTATTGATCATAATAATAATAATAATAATAAGGCTTTCATTCCAAAAGGAGAAAAAAATAAATGTTACATAGTTTGAGTAGAGAGCTAATAGCCTAATATATAATTCAAACTCTCCAGAACTCCATCTTGACTTGTACAAAATTGAATGGAGGAAGAGAGAAGCAACCTAAAACCTACTCATTATCACCACGGCGGGAGAATGTAACTCATCCCACACTAAGGATCATCCAAAAACAGAGCAGCAACAAGAAGAAGAAGAAGAAGAAGAAGAAGAAGAAGAAGAAGATGTCTACAACCAAATGGAACCCCCAAGCAGGGCCCCAAACATCATCATCAATGCACAACTCAATATATTATACTCATAATCGCTTGCAGAAGAATCTGATTTCGTGGAGTTCATTGATGGGGCTGTGATGTTTGCCGTGGTGCCATTCCTCCCAACACTGCAAAACCCAGAAATTCTCAGTATCTGATGGAGTTTATATCAATAAAGAATGACACAATGTTTATGAAGTTTACCTTTCTGAGAATGAGCAGGATCCACGACCTGCATTCATCAACACAACAGAAACACAAGTTAGTTTTAAAGATAAGCAGAAAAACACAAGGAAAGTGATGAATTCTGCTGGGTCTGTCTGATCTTACTTGGGTTACTGGTTGTAACTGCAGCCACTCCATTGAAGTCACATGAACCTGATGCTTTCCCCATTTGATGATAATAAGCATTAAAAGCATATGTTGCATGAGCCATCACATTGTCGGGTTCGTAGCATGGCTGCCCTTGGAGCAACGCTGAACAATCCACCCTGCCAGGTCCACATGCCCAATCTAAGGCAGCCTGCAGCATCTTCGGGTCGGCTCCTTCCTTTGCAGCACAGTACGTCGGGTTCATCGTATCATTCGCTAACACAAGTCCCGATCCCGTCAAGCGCAAAATGTATATAGGCTTTCCATTTGCATCAAACAGTCCCCAGTTCTTCTCAGAAATTGGCCCAGGTTTCATGTCCTCATTATAGAGCTCATAAATGTAAGTACTAACAGGAACCCCTGGATGTTTAGGAGTTCCAGTTTTGTTCAGCACGTGCCTGATTAAATTGCTATTGTAAGTGTTTGCATTATCCAATGTTGCATCAGGCTCATTAGCGCCACCTTTTGATGGCCAGCCTGTTTCTGAAACTACAATGGGTATGTTAGTGAAATTTAGAGAAGCCATAGCAAAGTAGGCTGCATCGACCAAAGCATCGAAAACATTGGTGTATCGAAGAAGCGTGTTCGAATCAACAGCTTCTTTATTTGAAGGGAGAGGCTTTAAGAGTGCATAATCCAACAAAATAAAGCCATCAGATTGCATATAGTCATAATAAGGATACACATTGAACATAAGGAAGGAGTTAGTAGATTGCAAGAAACCAAGCAAGGGGACGATTACAGAATCCAATGATGCATTGAAGAACGCTTGTGAAGGCGGAAACGAATCGAGAATAATCGAAGAAGAAAGCGGTGTGGAGACCTTAATCTGGTGATCAAGATTGGAAGCAACAAGTGCAGAGTGAATGTATTTCATGGCATTGACAAGGATTTTAGCTGCATTAGGAAGTTCTGTTAGAACCTCAGAGCCAACAGAAATTGCTGTAATGTTAGTAGCTGGATAATGGGCTATCACATTGTGATTAACCCAGTTAGCTGCAGTGGAGTTTGATTGTCCAATCCCAAGAAGCTGTTCATTAGGAACAGATACCATAACTTGAATGCCTGTATTTGCAAGTGCCATCAGCATCCCGCCATCGGCATCGTATAACCGAACATGTCGAATTTGTTGAGCTTTCAGGAGGGCTACTACTTGTGTTGGATGAGGCATAACCGATAGATCAGTTCCTATATTCACACCAACAAATACATCTGCAAGAACAAATCCCAAAAATGGTGAGGACCCCATTAATCCGTTTTAGGAATATATGCCTAAACCCTTAGATTTAGCAATGAATTTAATATAACATCCAAGAGAATAAGAACATATTTAACAAATTAAATATACCCTCACCGATTAGTTTAATCTTTTCGGACTTTAGTATTAATAAAAGCTCCAAAGGTTTGATTAAGAACAATAAATTTTTTTAATGACAGAGCAGCAATCATTCACTACCCATCCAACTACCTCTCTTGGGCATTTAATCAAACACCTGACCTACATAGATTCAAACACATTCAATGCGGAATTTTCCCTTTTCCACTATTTGTATTTGGGTTTTTTTGTTCTTGGTTCCTCATATTTCACACGAATATGAAAATAAACACCCATAAAACCATGGAAACATCACATTTCACAAAACGAAAACAGCTGGTGAGTTAAATCAGGCACCAAGACACCAAGACACCAAGAAAAAAGCTCAGATTCAGTCAAAAGAACTCAACAAAGTTGAGGAAAACAAAGAGAGAAATGAAAGTGAAACAATCATCTCTCACCTTCAGCAACGGCCTGCAGAGACAAAAGAGAGAATATCAAGAGGAGAAATGAAACACAGACACCCATTTGAGACTCCATAGCCGTCAGCCCCTTTCCTAGAACAGAGCTTGAAGAAACCCAACAATGGAGAAAGAAAGAGAGAAAGGAGAGGGGAATCGGTGAAAGGACAGAATGAGTGAAGGCAAGTTAAAACCAAGGTAAAGCAACCGGGAAAGAGTGGGAAAAGATGCGGGGGAATATATGGGCAAGAGAGAGAAAGGTGGGGCCCATGGGACCCACATTTCACGTGGATGCTTCTTAATCTCTGATCCATCCAGGCAGTGAAAAAACCGACTAACCCATGCATTGGCCACAAAGGTAAATTATGATCCTTCTCCTAACTTTTACCGTTGCTTTATTTTATGGTTAAACAAATATTATAGTATTTATTTCTATTTCCACATTAATTAAAAAATTTCTATAATAACTAAAATATATTTTTATAGTTTAATAGTAATTTCATATTAAAATAAATTTTTAAAGCTCTAAAATGTCGAACAATGTTAGATGAAAGTGTCTCACGGCGGTTAATTTAGGGAATGGTCGTGGGTTTATGATTAAAGAATACACTATCCATTAGTGAGACCTTTTGGAGAAGCCCAAAGCAAAGCTACAACAACTTATGCTCAAAGTAAACAATATCATACCATTGTAGATAGTTTGTTTGTCTAACAAATAAAAATGGACAATATCACACGGACAGTGAACTTTTATATGCAGCATTTCATAAATTTTAAGGTAACATATTACAAGAAGTATGGAAATTTAAAATTTAATTGTAATGAAGTAAAAAAATAATAAATAAGGCAAAAACGTGGTGAATATTGGAGGCAGTAAAAAAAAAAAAAAAGGGAAAGGGGCCCATTTATGAAATAATAATAATAATAGAAATAATAATAATACCAGCTGGTTACAACGGTCATATGTTTTTTCTGTTTTGTAGTACTTATATAATTGGATTGATTACTTTTTGACGGTTTTCGTACTGTTTTATGAAATTTTCTTGAACCATGTGAAAATTATCCGTTTATTTCCTTCTTCTTTTAAATTTTTAAAATTTAATAGACACAAAATTTACTAACGATAATCAAACAAAAATAAATAAATAAAATTAGGAGATACTTACGATAATCAAAAAGAAAAAAATAAGTAATTTGAAATCGCTTAGAAGTTGAAAAGAAGGAAGAATGAAGTGAAGAACAAAATGTTCAAAATTTGTCATTTGCCACAAAAGATACCTAAAAAAAAGTGCCTTCCAAACGACAAAGAGTAGAATCTAAGAACGGGATAAAATAAAAGCACTACAACCCAATAAAAATAAAAGAGAAATTACGAAATTTCACAATGTTACGATATTATTCATTTTGAGCATAAAAAACTCGTATTAATAAAGATGTATTTCTTAGTTATGTCAGAATTTAGTACAACTTATTTGAATTAGTTATAAAATATAGGATATTCCCAATTATTTAATATTTAAAAAATATATTAGTTAGGGAATATATGTCAGATATTAGTAATCAGTTAGATTTGATCAATAATATATTTTATTTTATTTTCAAAATTTAGTTAGTTTATATATATATTTTTTTTGTAGGTATTAGTTGGTATCTACTATTCACACTTTTGACTGAAAGATATTGAGTCAGTTAGTATTAGAGTTATGCCCTAAACTTAGTCATGCCAATAGAATGTTAAATTCTCAAATGTCAAACAAATGACTCCAAAAGAAGAGGGAGTCGAACCTCCACAAAAATATAGTAAAAAATGACTGAAGACTCCAAAAGAAAAAGG